GCATGGAGAGACACGCAGGTGAATTGATAAGGGACAGAGAATGAAAGTATACCCCTAAATACATGTAAGTTTGACAGAGGATATTTTTACATGTGTATTTACCTTTGCTACAAGTATATTCATAAATGTGGTGGAGCATACAGTGGATAAAGTTATGATAATTTCTTGTTTTTATTAAATGCCATTGAGTCAGTTTTGACTTAGTGATGCTTTATAGAGCTTCTGAGACACTGCTGATGGGTTTGAATACCACCTGTGGTTCAAATTGACCATGCTGTTCAGTGCTTATCCTACAGTGCCAACCAAGACATAAGCAAGTACCTTGTGGAAAAAGTTGCTGGGCCTGAGGGCTGAGGATCATAGCCTTGGGGGACACTATTGTAAACTGGCATAACATGGTCCACAGAGACAGTGTTATATCTTACTTTGATAAGTAATGATTAGGGTCTTAAAAGTTCATGAGCAGACATGGTCTTTCCCTGTCTGGAGGGAAGAAGAGTGATGAAAATTGAAGATTGAATGACTACGGGAACATCAGTCTCTGTGATGCTGAGACCAGAAGAGCTAGATGGGGCACAGCTACCAGTAATACTTGCTCTGAAGGGGGTCACATTATAGGATCCTAGATAAAGAGGGAGAAAATGTGGGACAAAATTCAAAGTCATAAAAAAGACCAGGCTTGGGAGAACAAACAAGATGTTGGATCGGGTGGAAGTGCAGTAAAGGAGCTCCACCACCAACAACAGAGAATACCTGACCAAGCAGGCTCAGGAGATGGTCTCAGAACTCTGAACCACATATAAAGGAATACTTAGAAGGTTGGAAGGCTTACAGCTAGGGGAATTTGTGGCAGAAGCAAGAAATCTACTGCTTTCTAGTCCGGGATGCTCAGCTGCTCCTGGAGCTGCCATCTTGGGTGAGACCAAGCGGGGGAAGGATCGGAGCGGCACAGATGCCTGGCAGAACCGCAGATATAAAGGTGTGGACATTCTTTTCTTTTGGTATCTGTTCATTGGTCCCTTGCTATCTGCACACCTCCATTTTGGTGACTATAGGGGTGCCTGAGCTAGTGGGCACCCCAGCCCCAGCCTCAGAGGGTTCCACTACGCATGCGCACAGAGCTCCTCAAAATTTAAAGAGACAGTTTCCAATTAAAACCAAATGGC